ATATATATATATATATATATATATATATATATATATATATATATTGGGTCATTGAATAGCTTTATTGTCATTTTTGTCATTTTTAATTTTCTTTTTTTTTCCCAGTACTTTACTGTCGCCAAAATATTATGGATTTTGTGGTAATATTATCATTTTAAATGATATTGGTAACTAAGAATGTTGGAAAATGATCTCAGTCTATATTAAACCTGTTTAAAGAGGAATATTATAAAAATTGTTAGTTATGAAGTTATCAAGTAGAGCAGAATCAGTGACGAATTCAACTATTTTTGGTGTTTGAGAGAAAATGCAAACATTTGTATGTTTATCAAATAACAATGCTTTTCTAAAAATTGCGATGATTGGTGGGTGGGAACAAAAAAGCTTTAAAATTTCATTCCATGTCTGGAAAATCTCACACACCAAAAAATGCTAAGCCTGCCACTGAGTAAAAGACTTATTAGTAACTGTTGTTGATTTGTTTGTTGTTGGGATTAAGTTATTTTCTAGAAGAGTATTTATAAAATTCTCTGCATTATTATTTAAAGCATAGAAGCTCATTTTTAAAACCCTGACCAAATAAATATGTTTTTTCTAATTTGTAATTTTGTTTGGAAATGTTTTTAGAAGAGTTTTAAACTTTTTCATATTACCAGATTGTGGTCTATAAAAACTATTCATAATTATGTTTTTTTAGTTTCATTTACTAATTCAATGCATAATGATTTACAATCTGTTTCATTAACGCGGAGATTATTACGTAAAATATAATTAAGTAAATTGTGAATAATAATATTAACAACCCCGCCTGTATTAAATACACACAATTGGTGAATTGATGTCTAATTAATTAGTTCAAATTCATAATTTGTTTCACCCCATTTACACCAAGTTTCCGTCAGACATAACTTTAAAACCGTCTTTAATTTAATAACATTTTTGAATTTTCAAATTTCCAATACTCGTATTAGAAATTGAAAAAGTGTTTTTATTTTATCTAAGAAATTGCGAAGATTCAGAAACTGATTAATTTTTACTTTCTAACATTTTGTGATTAAAATAATTTGAGTAGGAATTATTATCATTGAGGGGGGCAACTGAATAAGCATAAGTGTAGCATAAGTGCAATGCAGTTGCGAAAAGTGAACTGGTATAAGTGCAAACTGGCATAGGTGCGCTAAAATAATTTGCAGACGTAGACATAAGTGCAAATCGGCTTAAGTGCGCCGAAAGAATTTTCAAATATTCGAATCAGCATAAATGCGAACTAGTTTAAATGCGCCAAACGAATTTGTAAAAATTTGCATAAATGTGAATCGGCATGACTGTGACAAAAGAATTTGCTGGCATTGGCATAAGTGCGATTCAGTTACAAAAACTGGCATAAGTACGAACTGGCATAAGTGCAAGCATAAACTGAAATATGTGTGAACTGGCGTATGTAAACCGAAAAACTTTTCAAAAACTAGCTTAAGTGCTTAACTGCAAAAGGAATGACCTTTGTAAATTAAATTAGAAATTTAAAAAAATAATAAAAACGTTTAGAAGGGGGCAAAACTACCTAATAAACTACCTAAAAATATCTATTTAATTTTGAGAAAAAAGATTGTCAGTAGAATTCTAAATTTTAAGTTATAGACATTAAAAACTTTTGTCATGGAAGGAACGACAGGTTCCTTCCATGACACAAGTTTTAATGGCTATAAAAAAAAAGTTATTATTCCTCATGCAACATCTTTACCTGAAACTAAATAGGTCTTTATAGGTAGCATGTTAGGTATATATTGCCCCCTTGAAAACGGTTTTTTACCGTAACCTAATAAAAAAAGTCATATCATTGCTTTGAAGATGTTTATACCAAATATAAATTCATAAACTAATAAAATATATGGCCAAGGAAAACACATTTAATTTGAAATACTTAAATTTTTTAATTTTTATGTAATAAAAAACGCGGGAAAGTCGGAAATTACTTTATGGTCATCCTTACTACTAAAACATAATAATTAAACATTTATTAGAATTTTTATGCCTTAAAGCTGTATATATTTTAAAAAAGAAGGTTTTAATTTTATAATAAAAAAAAAATCAGAGTCCGGTTACTTTTTAAAATTTAAAAATTTTGTATAACAAATCTTAAATTTTAGCAATAAAAAAAACATAAAAATGACTGAGTCTCATGAAACAAAACTAAAAACATTATGCAAAATATGTGGAGAAAGTGTAGATAATGATAGTGTTCTTTTAACAAAACATATTGTTAGAATAGAATTTTGTTTTTTTATCCGAATCGATAACGACCACCCAAATATGCATCCTCAAAAAATATGTTATAGATGCTTTTCAGTATTAAGAAATATTGAAAAAGGTTCAAACACTGAACTAAAATTAAGATCATGGCCTGAAAATTGCAATCTAACTGAATGTGTTTGCTTTAAATCCAATAAAGAAAGAAAAAAAAAGAAAAAGATAAGTGGAAGACCTTCGAGTATTATAGTAAAAATATTTGGACTAGACACAAAATAAATAACATACAATCTAAACTTTCACCTCAAACAAAACTTAATCTTAAACTGCAAGATATTAACTACATCTTAAACCCTCATGTGCATCTTTGTGTTTGTACTATTTGCAATGACATTATGCATAAACCAATTATTATAAAAAACTGTCTTCATTCATTTTGCGCATCATGTCTATTACCACTTATTATTGGCAAACAAATAGCAAAAACATAATGCCCTAAATGCTCCTTTTCAATTCCAAGTGATGGGTTAATTTCATCAACGAATGTCATTGAAATGATAGAAAATTTACAAGAAGTATGCAAGCAAGGTTGTAGTAAATTGTTTAAAATCACATAACTGTCAGAACGAAAGAAACATCAAAAACTTGTCAGAAAACTCAAATATCAAGTTCAACAACATTATCATTACCAACATCATCATCATCAACTTCACAAATAAACCTTTCAGATATATTTGCATTGGATTCAACAAGTATTATACCAAGAAACATTGAAGATGCTGCTCTGCATGTAATAAAACAAAAAATGTCTCAAACAACATCCAATTTAATTGAATTTCCGACAGGTGGACCAAGGGTAAGGCTATTTTTACAAAAGCAGTGACTGTAAAATTACTATAACAAAACAATAATGCTTTTAATTTTGTAATAGAAAACTATTGATTTTTGCATGAAATATTATTTTTAAAGTATGATTTTTAGTATGAAATAACATTCTTGGTGTAGGCCTACACCAAGAATGTTATTTTCATCTGAAAACTTAATTTAATTAAGTATTTTTTTTTTAATTTAATTAATTTCTTAATATGAAATTTTTTCCATTTGTAAAACAGTTTAATTTAAAACAAGTTGTAATACAAATAAATTTCTTTTATTAATGACAAGTATAATGAAGATCCATTAAGTCTCCCCGCTTAGTCTAAGCAGGGAGACTTAGTGGATTAAAACAAAAAGTTGAAATGTCAACAAAAACTGCTAAAAATATATACACACTTAAAAAAAAGGTAGAAATTTCTACCTTAGAGTAGGATATGTGATATACCTTTAGTACGGTATGATTTTCTACCTTTTAAGTTAAAAAATTATATTAAAAACAATGATTTTTCATACAATTTTCTACCTTAAAAGGTAGAAAATTACACCTTACCAAGAGCATATCACATATCCTATCCACAGCTGGAAAAAAAAAAACACTTTTTATTATTTCAGAAAGTGGGTTTTTGGGTTTTTAGGGTTTTTTTTTTAAATGCTAGCTATCATTATGATAATGATAATGGTTGTCAAAATGAAAAATTCAAATATTAATGACTGCATGACAAACATAATATGGAGATTTCCAGATAATTCAATGAATATCATAACAAAATTGTTTCAGATATTAAAATTTAAACAAAAAATGACAATGTCATAATAACAGTTTTCACAACTTAAATTGTAAAATGGTCACATAGCTTTATGATAGAAAAACTTAAAACTGTTGAACATAACAGTTGAACATAACTGTTGAACTTTATTTAATTTGTTAAGTGTTAATTAAACAACTTAAAATACTTAAACAGTTAAAACTTAATTAAAATCTAATTGTTAAACTTGAAATGATCATTATTCAAATTCAAATCTTTTCAATTGTCACCTACATTACTATCAATTTCAGTTGTAAAACTGTCAGATTGTTCATTGTCACTTGGCTCAGTGTTCATTCAAAAAACTTGAAATATAAAAAACCCAGAAATTGTATTTCATTTGGTCTTTAAAAAAATCCAAAAAAACCATGATATCTGCTATATATATATTGAAGGTATTTGGTAGGGTTGCCAGATGTCCAGCTTTTACGGAGGAGAATACAGCGCTAAACCTGTAAAAATAAACTTTTTTACTGTGTTCTCCTACGTAAAAGCGGTACATCTGGCAATCCTAGTATTTGGTATAATTCCTTTTTGACAAATCACTATCAACAATACTGTTATATTAACTGAGAGTTATAAGAAATTTGTTAGTGTATTACACTTATTTTTTTTTTTTTTTTTTCATTGGTTTCTACCTATCAGTATTATTCATATAATTTATGCTTTTATGCTAGAGCTAACATTTCTGAGAACATTTATTCCAAGTTTAAGAATATTTTGAAACACTATAAAGCTATAGAAAAAGAAAAAAAGAATAAAAAAAGAAACCAATAATATGTCATAACCAATCATGAAAACATTAAAATACAAAAATGACATTGTACTATAATGAGAATAAAGCTATAAATTCTAAAAGGACAAATATATAATACACTAGTGAAAACTAAAAAAAAAACTAATAAATAACAAAATTAAAAACTATAACAGTAAAAGATAAAAAAGATACTTTACCATATTTTCATAAACAAAAGTACTGTAAATTAAAAAATATATAAAACTTGTACCTATATAGTAAATATTTTTAAAAGGTATATTAGATATTTATTAATGTTTATTTTTGAATTTTAGAGATAGATATTTTATCATCATTTGATGTTAGTGAAGACACACCTGGTATTAACAGTATTTCGGAAAGATATGGTGCCTATCAGTTTTATATGTTTAGTAAGGAACTGATTGCTACTGCATCAATTTCAAAAGAACTTATCTTTAAGCTGATAAAAAGCAAAGAATTTTTTGTATCAATAAATATTCGACATGATAAAAGAACTCCAAGTACAGTTTTAGCTCTACAAACTAGTTCGGGAAAATCAAAGCTAGTTCTGTGGGTAGACTCCTTTGAGAGAAAAGTTGGGCTTAAGTCTCATTCTATTAAAAACGGAAAAAACAGTATTGTTTTTAAGCACATTCCAGTACAACAAGGGTCATGGCACAGATTACTTATAAGTTTTAAAGAACTAGATACTGATTCTCCTATTGTTCAGTTATATGTGGACTGTCAGTATGTAGGAAAAAAAGATTTTCCTCTTAATTTACGATATTCTTTAATGGAAGATAGTATGGATACTGAAATAAGACTCGGGCAGCAAAAACATACTCATGGCAATGATCCACAAAAGTTTATTGTAAGTAAATACATTTATTATGTAATTAAAAGCTCTTTAACTTCTAAATCTTTATTCATCATTGTTTCTCAATTCAGAGGATATGATTTATGTTGACAGACTTTGATTAGGATTATTATTAACAGACTTGCAATCCCTTAAAAGTAGCTATTGAATGACACTTATGACAGGAGTGACTTCTACTACTTTGTAAATAAGCTATAAAAAGTTTTATTAAACATTTATTTTATTTAAGAAGAATCTTATTAAATTTTAATTAAACACTATATATATATATATATATATATATATATATATATATATATATATATATATATATATATATATATATATATATATATATATATATATATATATATATATATATAGATTTCAGATTTAAGCAATCTTGCTTATGTTGCCTTTATGTCAGTTGCAACATTGCTTCTTCTCCATAGTATCGTTGCTTCTTCTCCATAGGCTGTTCATGTAAACATAGAGTATATCTTCTCTTTCTGAAGGTCTGCTTTTTTCCAATATAGTCTTATTAACTATAATGCAATGGTTTACAAATTATTTTTATTAGTTTTTTGGCGATTTTTTTCTTATTTATTCTTTTAAAATTTGCAATTATTAAAAAAATCTAAAGCCAGTTATTGTTTTAAAATAAATGCAGTTCCGGGAGTACTTTGTCAATTATCAGAGTTTCTGAATATTCTTAAAGCTAATTGACCAGCAATATTTTTGTATATCTTCTTTTATCGCTGTCCCATTTATTATATCTGTTATGTACACTTTGCCTTATTTATTAAATCTCTTATGTAAACTTTCCCCTATTTATTTTTATAATATTATAAAAATTTATGTTCAAAATACTGAAAATATTTGAATAAAAACTTTTTACATGTATACTAGGGTGGTTCATAAGTTTTTTTTCCAAAGTTGTAACTTTATAGATTTCCAATCTAAGAGCAGGGTTTTCAAATAGTTTTACTTTAAATTTTTAAAATAAATCTATTTTTATTATTTTATTGAAAAAAGAAAGATAATTGAAATTAATTCTCTTGAAATACAGGTCCGTCTTTTCAAAAATTTTCAAGTTTGAGTTTAACATTTGATAACAAACAAATGTTTTTTTGTAAAATGTATAATTATCTTATTTTTGCTGGAAGTTTCAATAAAATTTAACAGCAGACTCTTGTACTTCTCTAAATATTGCTTTACAATATTGATGAACTTTTATGTAAAACTTTACAATTTGATAATAAAAATTACAAATTGTTGTTCAGTTATAAAATGAGAATCAGCATTGAATGTTGAAGAATAAATTTAAGAGTTAAGAGTTGAGAGAGTTAAAAATATTTAAAAAAACTATAAGAAATATTAAAAAAAAGACTTCATGACTAGCCACACAGCCTTGAGTGGCTAGTCTTAAGTTGAATAAATAAAAAATGTATATACCTATATGAATTTTATCTAAATGCAGTGATTTTCATAAATTAGACAATAATGACTATGTCATTACTAAAAAAACTAAAGCAGTAGCAGTAACCACCCTAATGTGTTAATAAACTAGAACTAGAAAAAACTTTAAAATGAGACTAAACTAGAAAAAAATTTAAAGTGCAATGATATTGAAAAAACAGTTTTCAGTTTTTTTGTCCTCATTGTATTTTAATTTTTATCGCATATTTTTTTATGCTATTTTCCATCCTTATTAAATTTTCCTGTTCTGTGAAAGCATTTTGTCCAATATTGTTTCAATTATAACAAGTAAAATATTAGGCTCAAACCCCAAAGTATTTTTGTACAAATAAGTGATTAATTAACCTTGAATCTTGAACCATATTAAACAGCTTAACTGTGCATGAAATCAATAGTTTGATAAGCTTGAATTTTTGTTTCAGTTGCATATACGTTACAGGCATGTCTGCTAAAAATATTTTAATTAGTGAAGCGTTTTTTACAAAATTTCATCATTCTTAAAGTTTGTTTGCACAGGCATATATTTTTATTTTAAATTTCTATGTAAATTTAAGTGCAAGATGACAAGTTTTAAATAAAACTTTTATAAATATACATTATATAGTAAAAAACATAAAAAATACATTTTTTTATTAATTTGCAGGGTGCGCAAGTACACCGCATACAATGTGCAAGATTATAAATTTGTGTTTAATATAATTGCAGGGTGCTATGCAAGATTTCAAGTTCGTATTTAATAGAGCAGTTGACTGGTATAACAATCCTAAAAAGTGTTTGTCAATGGATATTCATGTTAATAGTAAGTTTCATTTTTAATCTGTTTGTGTTTAAATAATTTGAATGTTTAAAAACTTTGAGAAAGGCTGATAAGTTTAAATGAAAGTCACATTTTTGGGTTAAGCTCAAGTAATCAAGGAAAAAGGTAATTCCATTAAGATGGACAATAGGCCAAGTATTATCAGTATAAAGTTAAAATGGTTTTCTTATAAAATTTTAATAACCTAGGATACATTCCATTGTTTAAAATCTACACACCAAAAATTGGTTAATTGTTTTTTTATATTTTTGTACATAACACAATTTAATGTCAACTAATACTTTATATTCTTATACTTTATATTTAAGTTTTTGTCATAAAAGAAAACTTTTAAATAATAAAACATTAAAAAAATGAATGGTAATACTGTTAATTAAATCTTTTATTTAGGAAACAGTAGATAAAAGTAAATAACATAACCCATTAAAAAGTGCATTAAATTCTACCAATTTAAGAGTTGTTCAAACTAATTCAAGTAAAGCTTTCAGATAAGATTGATAGATGTAAATTGATAAATACAATTAATGTATTATAAATCTAAAATAATTTGTATAATAAAAATAAAACTATTTAAGTCATTTTAGAAGTCTGTCATAAATAAATGTCTTAAGTGTAGTTCCAATTTATTATTCCATGTAAAAACACAAGCGAACATATACATTTTAAAATACATGACTGAAACTTGTGACCTTTTACAACATATTGTAGGTTCATTAGTTTTATGGCTTATTAAAAACTGTCCTTAATTATTTTGTCTTTATTGACTCATAAAATAATAACAATACTCGTTATTATAATAAATAATAATTTTAAATTTAAAAGATTTATTTAATTGACTTTATTATTTTTTATCGTAAAACATTTCAATTATTTCCAATTTAAAAGATTTATACAAGTTATTTTATTTATTATATATTTACAAAATTTATTTTTCAGATTTCAAAGCGTACCAAGCTCCTGATCCATTTGTGCTAGAAAAAGAAATTGCTAAACTTACTGCTGGTATTAAAAGTATTCAATTATATATGGCTGAGCAGGTAAGCCTGTGTGACTTGTGATTTAATTAATTGAAAAAGTAACAGTAACCTAGCAACCAAACAAGAATAACAATAATTATTGTTATGCTACTATTAGTAATAATAATGCTTATTATTACCTAGTAATAATAATGCTTATTATAAATGGGTAATTATTAGAATTTAAAGGGGCCCCATTAATGATACAAAATAATCACATACCTGCATATAATACATTTAAATCATTCTTTTTAGATGGGGCTTGTTGTAGTGTAACCCCCTCACAAGACCATTACATATTTTCATAAAGCATTGTGTTAATAAATTATGACAACAACATGAGCATAATAAAAAAAAATTATTTCCAATATATCAAATACAATTTGCTCATTATAGCAATAATGACAATAGTTAAAAGTTGAAATCTTTTTTACTATGTTAGATTTTCCATAATTCTTAACAAAAACACTTAGATCAATGCTTCTATTGGCTTCTTTTTTTTTTTTATTGGCTCATGATAAATACAACAAAAATTAAAATTAAACTTATGTCACAATTTTTATCTTATATAACACAAATTAAACTTCAAATGTTTATTCATTAAAGTTTTTATTATTTCTCAAGAAAATTAAAATGAAATTAAAATGTAACTTTCTTGCAAGCATTATTTTCATTATTTTCTTCATAATTGTTAAAAGCATTATCATTCATATTTCTTGCAAGCATTATTTTCATTATTTTCTTCATAATTATTATCTTATGACTTATAGTTAAAAAACCAAAGAAAAGTTAAAAAAAGTAAATAATAAAATTTGAAAATTTGTTTTTTTATATATTTTTTTTAAAAGTAAAAAATATATATAAAAAACCAAAAGTACAGTACATTCATTTTTACAAAACCAAAAGTACAGTACATTCATTCTTTCTTGCAAGCATTATTTTCATTATTTTCTTCATAATTATTATCTTATGACTTATAGTTAATGCTAACAACTAATATCAAAATATTTTTATTTAAAAGATTTTAGTTGTTACCATAAGCATAAAAAAAAATTATCATTTATCGTTATTTATTGTTATCTTTGTAATCATTATCAACAACTAAAAAGAAAAAGAAAAATATAGTGTAACATATGATATAAAAAGAAAAATATAGTGTAACATGATATAAAAAGAAAAATATAGTGTAACATATGATATAAAAAGAAAAATATAGTGTAACATATGATTTAAAAAGAAAAATATAGTGTAACATATGATATAAAATACAAATAAAATATCAATCACAATAATCAATTAAATATAAATAATATAAATTAATAAAAAACTTACAAACATGTAAAAATGTACAAACATTTAAAAACTTGAAAAACATCTATAAAACTTACAAACATCTAAAAACTTATAAACGTGTAAAAGCTTAAAAATGTGTAAAAACTTAAAAAATACCTAAAAAACCTACAAACATGTCAGACAAACTGTCAGCGTTACTGTACTCAATTTTGCATTTAAAAAATATAAAAATAAATTCAAAATAAAAGCTTTTATACAAAAAAAAAAAAAAAAAAAATCTTTAAGCTTTTTTTTAAGCACCAATATCAGTAAAGCAAACAGAAAAGTTAAAAAAAGTAAATAATAAAATTTGAAAATTTGTTTTTTTATATATTTTTTGTAAAAGTAAAAAATATATATAAAAAACCAAAAGTACAGTACATTCATTTTTACTTTCTTTTTTAGTCTAAATCATAAAAAAGCAAATCAGTGTTAATTTAGGCATAAAAACCTAATACTATTAGTGACTTTTATTTGAGTTTTACAGTTTTCTAAAAAGATACAAATTAAAATATTACAATTTATTATCTAGAGTGCAATCTAATAGGGGAAATGATATACTTTTAAAAAAAGTTAATTTGTTATATGAAATTTATTTATGTATAATTTTTTTTGTTTGTTTACAATTTTGTCAAAAAAAAGCTACTATAATCTTTTTTTGAATTAAGGTCAAGTAAGTAAGCTCCGGTAAATTTTTTCTATTATTCATTCTTGCTTTCACAAAACTCTTTTTTTAAAACCAAACAGAAACTGTTGCTATAGTAACCTATTTTACAACTCTTTCACAAGATAGAGTATGAAGAAAGTATGGAGTTTCAAAACAAGTAATCAGATATTTTTCAAGACCATATGTAGAGGTTTGACATGCAAACATTGGTTCTGAAGTAATACCTTTCTCCCAATCTAATTTATCTAAGAGCTCTTTGATAGCTAAAGTTTCTGTATTGAGCAAAATCTTTCTTTATGACATTACAGTTGTGTCTCTAAACTGTAAGGTTTCCATTATATCTTTATACCAAGTTTATCAAAATATAATAATTTATATCAAATATAATAATGATATTTATAATGATTATATAATATAATTATATTATATTACATGTTCTCAATTCTTCATCTGAGATTGATTAAAGAGTTTAAATCATGGATTCTGAATAGACAGATAAGCTCCATTTTTAATATATTGTGTGGCAATGTTTTAAACTTCATTATCTTGTCTTTTCAGCAGTTGCAAAAGTGTTACTATGTGACCTAGGGCATCTACAATACTGTGATTTCATACCACATGCGGAAAAAATGAATATTTATCTAGGAGATTCACGCCTCCTTTCTAACTAATGTTGCTTAATGGGCTAGAGCTGGTCTTGAATGATGTCAAACCTCTTGGTTTTAAGCCAGAAATTTAAATATCTTAGACGTTTTCCCATGTGCTATATCTCTGATTGTGTTTCAGAATAATACAATATTCTCCTCGAAAGTTTTTTTTTTAACAACCACTGGAGGTTTAAAAAGTGCATTTGCATTCATCTACTGTTGAAGATTAAAGTCAATTAGTGACTGAGAAAGATCTCTTACTAATATATTCCTTTTAAGATCAAAATAACTAATATCATGCAAAAATTATGTATAATTATACATGATTTTTGCATGATATTAGTTATTTTTATTTTTAAAGGAAATAAATAATTTTAAAAAAAGCTAGACACTTTTTCAATGTATATTTTATTTCATAATAAATTTTAATTGGTTCAAGATATTACCTGTTAATTACCTAAGACCTTTTCTAAAGATATCCCTTTAAGTCTTTTGATGGAAGAAAGAACTTCTAATGGAAAAAGATACTTTCACCTAAATAAGTTGATAACTTTGTTTCCATAGAGAGTCTTGTGATTTTGAAATGTCATAATTAAAATTTAAAGAAAAATAATAATAAAGATAATAAATCTTTATTATTATTTTTCTTTAAATTTTACTATTGACTGCATGTTAAAAAAAAATTATATAGTTTGCAAACCAAAAAAAAGTCACAAAGTCATATTTACAGACACTTAACAGGCTAAAACTAAATTAAACTTCACCCCAAACTATAATTTCATCATTATTTCAAAATGTAAATTTAATTATAGTCATTTTGTTAAAAGACATCATTTAAACAATTAAAATATGACAATTGTTTTATATTTTTATCTTGTATTATATTTTAACACTTTTTTTTATCACTTCATCTGGCTAAACGTAAATAACTTTTTTTTATAGAAAAAAAGTGTTAAAGATTCATAAAATATGGTAATACATAAAAAAAAAGCTTTATACAGTTTTAGATTTCAATAATTTAAAAAGTATAATCCCCCTCTCCCCTCCCTTCCTGTTTATGTCTAAATCAACAATTTTATCTTCCCAAAAAGTGCTCGTAAAAAATCTCGTATGGGTAAAAAAAAAAGATTTTTATCAGATATAGTGATACTATAAAAATAATCCACTTAATGGAAAACCAAAAACTTTGAAAGTATGATTTATCTTCGTTAAACCACTTTTTGTGGTGCCTTATCCTAGAAACAACCTAAATTTAAAAATTTAACTAAATTTCTTCTTTTACATTAAAAGTTAATTATATTAATAATAAGTATAATAAACTATTTGATCAAAGAACACTAAACAATGATAATTGAAATATTAATATCTCATCATAAGGACACTTAACAATCATAAATAAAACTCTAATCTCATCAAAGGACACATAACTCAGTAAACAAAAAAAACAAAAAAATTATAAAGCAAAGATAAAGATAAAAGTGATGGAAACACTATGTATTAGAAATAGATAGGATATTTTCAAAAAACACTTAAGGAATTTATTGTGTTTGTAAAATATTTTTAATATTACTAATAAATTAAGAAATTTCTAATAAAAACAAAACTTATATGAGGAGTATATATATTTAATGTTTGTAAATTATTACAATGTTTTTTAACGTGTTTATCTTTTAATGTGATAAATGTGTTTTTAATAATAGGCAAAAGAAACTAGTTTCATTTTAAACTGGATGAAAACTTGCTCCAAATGCTCTATTGAAGGACCTGAATCCCCTGGTAATATAAGTGTGTGTTCTGGAAATCCGTGCATAGCAGAAGCTGACTGCATCAGCCATGAGGGATTCACTTATGAATGCAAGGTTATTTTAATTCTTTCTTTATTGAGATTTTTTAGTTTATTTATTAGTATATTCTTTTCCATGAATTTTCTTTTGTTAGTCAAGTCATATACCAAAGTAGCTCATTCAAAAATGTTGTTAAATATACTTCAGCAGGTTGAAAAAAGTTTACTGTTGCTTTTTATTATATTTCTTTTCATAAAAACTTCAAACAACCAATGATAAAATAATAAAAAAAATTTTGAAAATGAAAAATGTTTTTTACAAAAAGTTTAAGCACACTTTTTATCATTAAACATATGTGTTTCATCATTTAACTTTCATCATTAAACACGCATTTCATCATTTAATATTTACATGTTTTTCTAGTAATTTTATGTTATCTTTTATAGTTGTACTGTTGTTTGTAAATTGTTTAAAAAGGGATCCTACTGCATCCTTTAATTTTTTTTTTTTTTTATGTAGTTTTTTAAAGAGCAAAAACATAAAAAGTGAATAGTGAAAAAGGGCAACATTTGTGTAACATTTTTAGTGAAAAAAAAAAGTTTGATTACACTATGTAATAAATTTTCACTTTTGTTCTGTTCCTGGTTTGAAAGTGTGTTTTCCTAACCCATTAGGTTTAGAACAGAAAGAAAATTGCTGTTGTTCCAGAAAAACTTTGCTTCTGTGACCGGGACTATGAAATTTGAAAAATTGTGTGTTATCAAGAAAATTTTTAATTTGCTTTCAATGCCAAGCTTTCTCCTATAATACTTCTGAACTGCTACTGAAACGTACTTCCCTAAGTACGGTTCCCTAGTGAACAATTTAATTAGGGACCTTGGGCTTACAAAATTGAATGCTGAGCTTCAAGTATCCAGACTCAAACAGTAAAACTTGGTTGATAATAGCTTACAAGTTGCAAAACAGGGAGTGGCATCAAAGATTTCTCAACTCCTTCAGTCAGCATGATAGGCTGTGCAATGGTGCTTCTGCAACAATGTTACTGGTTTACTCCAGGCTACAGGTATTGCATGTAATCAAGGATTATCCTTTTCGGGATATTTCTGGAATTTCTAACATTTTTTTCAACTTTTAGTTTTTCTGGATATCCAAAAGATTTTCTATACATGTAAATTTTAGGTATAAATTTTTGTAACATATTTGTTTTTTAAGATTTTTTACTCATCGCTCGCAGAAGATTAAAGAAAATTTTGAAAAAAAAGTAAGGAACAACTCAGGTAAAAGCAAAATTAAGAGAAAATAAGGGAAAATATGTTTTCCGGATATTTTACCCAAACATTTTTCTGGATTTTTAAAATATGACCTGGATGATCTATATGTAATCCTATTGAATGGGGCCTATTCATATACAGTTTATCCCGGAGCCTCAAAGTTGTGTTGCTTTAAAATGGAAACAACTGCTCGTCTCTTTCAATGGTCCACTCTGTGCATCTCAAAGAGGACTACACCAGTGTCAAAATGTTGCTGAGTGTATTAAAGTATGACAACTACAGATCAAAGGTCATTAGTGACTTCAAAATGATATCATTCCTCGTCTTCAAGGAGGTCTCATAAAATTTCCTTGTTCCCTCTGTTTCTGGGACAGCTGTGACACTAAGGCGCATTATCTCACAAAGGACTGACCATAGTGGACTGAGTTTTCTGTTGGGAAGAGCAATGTGAAGTGGGAGCCACTGATAGAACCTCATAAAGTGCTTATGCCACTGCTGCACATCAAGTTACGCCTCATTAAGCAATTTGTCACTGCTCTTGACAAGGAGTCAGCAGGCTTTCAATACTTCTAAGATCTTTTTCCCAAGCTGTCTGAGGCTAAGGTCAGGGCTGGTATATTCATCGGATAACAGATCAAGAAGACCATAGAATGTGAGAACTCTGAAAGTCCATATCCTAGATTCACATCTTGATAAACTCAAGGAGAACATGGACAATTACACCAAGGAGCACAGCAAGCACTTTCATCAAGATATATTGGACTTTAAACTTTGTTACCATAGACAGTATAACAAAAACATGGGGGACTACATTTGGGGGCTACTTCGAGAAAATGATTTACAGTACAATTGTAAATCTAGAAAATCTAAACATTTCTGAATCTTATTAAGTAGTTTCCGACTGTGTTTGTCTATTCCTTGTGCAGTTTTTGTTTTTACCTGATCATAATGCAAAAATCAAAGAAAAATTGTTCTGTTTTCACAAAAAAACGAGGTTGATTTGATTATTCAAAAAGAAAAAAAAATCAATGTATGTATAGTTTTGTTTTAAAATTACAAAATCATAATTAACTATCTCATAAATTAAATTTATTTGTAAATAAAGCTTTAAAAAAGAAACTTTTTTAAAAATATGTTTTTGTTTTATTTGTTAGAAAAAAAAAACTGTTAAATTCGTTTTATTGATATGAAAAATGAAAAAAAGAAAATATAATTTTTTTAATTGCTCATCGATGAAATCAAAAAGTTTTTTAATGTCTTAAAAAATTGCCTCTTTTTAATGTCTTAAATGATGTGAATCATCTAGAGTACGTGTTGATTGATTATATTTGGTAAGAATTTGTTGGTTTTTGTAAGCGCGTGTGCCATTAAAAAGAGTGCCATATGTTAAACTATAAAACAATAAAAATAAAAAATGTCATACTTTGAGGTAAACAACATTTTTCCTTCGAGTACATTAATTATTCAATGTTTTGATAGTTATCTCTATACTTTTCATAATTATTAATTTTTTAAAAATTGCTTGCAATGCTTTGAAATTGCTTGCAATGTTTTGAAATATTCACATTTTGTGCAATATTTGATTTTGGTTTTTAAAATTTTAAATATTTAAGTTTTTTTGTTTTTTTTTCCAAGTGTAAAGATGGAACTGCTGGAAACGGAATGCATTGTGGAAAAGATTCTGATTCTGATGGAATACCTGACAAAAAGTTAAATTGTGATGATATGTCATGTAGATCTGTAAGCTATTAAATTGTTATGATATATCATTTAGATCTGTATGCTGTTAAATTCAAAGTTTGATTTTTCTCTATTACTGGTTATTCGTACTTTAGTATTTTAAATTTTGTGTATATTTGTGTACTGTTTATTTATATCATATTTCTATAAATTGTGCATATTTTCTGTCATATTTTTATTAGTATAAAACATCAAATTATTTTAAACAATAATTTAAAACATCAAAACCTTCACAAAATTTTTTTTCTGTTAGGATAATTGTGTTAATTTTCCTAACGCCGGTCAAGAAGATGCTGATCTCGATGGTCAAGGAGATGCTTGTGATATAGATGATGATAATGATGAAATACTTGATGAAGAAGTAAAAAAAAATAGTCAATATCTTGATGTCATAATGATGATGATTTTTTTTTTTTTTGAATTAAGTTTTTTATTGTTTTTTAAGGACAATTGCCCTAAAGTTTCAAATGTAAATCAAGTTGATATGGATGGTGATGGGTAAGATTATTCAATTATGCTAATTATGTAAGATTATTCAAATTATGTTTAGTAGCTATTATAATGAAACTTGTTGATAAAATGCAAAATTTATAGGAAAACTTTTTTGTCAATATTGATAAGTCACTAAAGCTATATGAGAGTATTTTTTCAATTTATTCAATATGACTAATTACACCATAACTAATAATATTACTCCTTTACTTAGTTATCTAAAAGTTTTATTTATACGAGTGTGTATCTAACTCTTCCATATCATATTTAAATAAAAAAATAGAAGTTTTGGTCACTTTCTGGTTGGCCATAAATACCACAAAATTTTTAATACTCTAAAGGTGAGTTACAGTTGTATACCAAACATCAAATCAATAGTTAACTCTCATAACCATCATATAATTAAAAGCAATACCTCAGATTCCAATAAACATTGCAATTGTATTATTAAAAGTAAGTGCCCTCTAAATCAAAAATGCCTTGTAAATAACATAGTGTATCAAGTCACTTTGTACCCAGGCACTCCAGATGGAAATGAAAAAGTGTATTTTGGAGTGAGTGAAACAGCATTCAAACTTAGATATGCTAACCATACAAAATCTTTTAATATCAAAAAATATATAAACGACACTGAATTATCTAAAGAAGTATGGAGGTTAAAAGGAAGTGGAATAAGCTTGACAATTGAAATAAAAATAGAACTTACAATCCCACAGTAAAACGTTGCAATCTTTGTTTATTTTTTACTTTGAAAAGTATCTCATAATATCTTACACCAATGACAACTTATTAAATAAGAGGAATGAATTAGTTTTTGAATGTAGACATAAAACCAAATTTCTTCTTTCAAAGATCGATTCGGGTAATTAAGCAGTCGTTTATAGTTTTTACTTTTCTGTTAAATAGGTATGTCTGAAGTTTGGAATGTTATCTGTAGGCCATAAAGGCATTTTGGTTACATTTTTTGCTTACCTTTTTCCATACTAATTTATTTAAAAAAAAAAAAAGTATAACAAAAAAATTGTTGCTTTTTCAACCCAAATTCAATTTTGATTTAGCAACTCTCTTAAATGTTTTACCTAGATTGTCAGTTTATATATGTACTGAAGCCCCTTCATATTGATTTAGGTATTAATGTATGTATGTATGTATGTATATATGTATATATGTATGTATGTATGTATGTATGTATGTATGTATGTATGTATGTATGTATATATGTATGTATGTATGTATGTATGTATGTATGTATGTATGTATGTATGTATGTATAAGGTCAGTATTGCTGAATGCCGACCTTAATTCTGAGGGCTCATATATATAAACATTAGCAAAATATTGCCTACCTCATTTCTTTGTTTTAAGATAACCCCTTTGTGTCAAATTTCAGAGGTCAGTATATATATATATATATAAATATATATATATATATATATATATATATATATATATATATATATATATATATATATATATATATATATATATATATATATATATATATATACATATGTGTGTATGTGTACCATTGCATGAAGAACACTTTGATCAAACACCTGTGTGTTCAGGTTTCAATATTTCTATTTAAATATGACATGGAAGAGTTAGAGTAATTTTTTAAAACATTTCTGATATAAAAAATTTCTGTCATTTCAACTTGTTTTGAGGATTTAGATTAGCAGGGTTAACAATTTGTCCTTTTTTTGCTCATCTATAGTTTTTAAATATATTTTGTCTATATTTCTAAAATATATTTTGCTCTTCTATACTTTTAAAATACTGAACTAAATCCATAAGAAAAAACATGATTAAAAAAATAAATATGTAATTTGCCATAGTAAAAGTCTTCATCTCTCATAACTAGATTGTATCTTCAGTCAATGTATAGAGCTGCCTTGTTTGTCAACATTTGCTTTTTAGAATTATAGGGTTTAGAAAGGGTTGTAGCAACAATAACAGCATTAAAAAATAATAATAGTATACTTTGCTGTAATGTTCTACTTTGTCCTGGATAGGTGAATTTATATAAAAAAATTTATAGTAATAAAATACTTTTATAGAATTGGTGATAAATGTGATAACTGTCCTTTTGAAAAAAATCCTGATCAAAAAGATGCAAACAAAGACGGCACTGGTGATGCCTGTGTGAAAGATCGAGATGGAGATGGTATTATTACAAATATTTCATTTGTTTATAATTTAAAAGTGTGTCTTCAAAGTAAAAAATAAGTTAAAGTTTTAAATATGTAATTTTATTACGTGTGTGACCATGTGCCAAAAGTTCAATAGAATTCAATAGACAAAAAAGATCTTGTTAGACTTTAATTGAATTTAAATAAATAGATTATGTTTTTGGTATAGTATACTTTTCCAAGCATTTTGTTAAAGATTCGTATTTTTAACAATTAAGATTATAAAAAAACTGTTGAATAAAAACAAGTTGTATATAAATTTATTTTATACTTTACATTATAAACAAACAGTTTTCATTACCTTAATGTATTAATGTTATATTATATTTTATCCATATAAAGTTTTTTAAACTGATTTTTTAATGGTTACTATATAACTTTTTAAAAAAAAATTTTTTTTTTTTTGCTTTACTTATATTTAGAATATTATGTTTAGAAAAAAATAAAGTAATAAATAACTAAATAATGTAACTATAATAATATAAATATTGTTAAATATTATTAAATAATTATTAAGTATAAATATTATCATATATGTTCTTTTTTAACTTTTAAAAAACCTTTTAAACTTGCTAATACACGTCTAGCTGTAGTTGCTTGTTTGTTTTACAATAAGAAATGTATTAAGATAACTGTGCTACTTCAGGGCTTGTGATGAAGAAAGTTGTCAAGCGTGTTATATCACGCTCGTAAAATTAGAATATGTTTTAATCGAGATTATGTGCACTTAAAATCAAGCAAAAATGCAACTTATTGATTTATTATTGAAGTATAGTTTTAGTTGTTTGCTTACGTTGTTTTTATATATGTATTTAAAAATGTTACGTTGTAAACTTAATTAACGGTTAATGGTTTTTATATTTCTTAACATTTTTTATTCAAATTAATTATTAATTATTTTTTTTCTAAAATTTCTTATTTAAATTACGTTTTTTTTATCTTAAAAAAAACACAAGAATAACTTTAAAAATTATTTGTTATAAGTTAAATAACAGATTTTCCCCTCAACTGTTGTCAACGGTGTTTCCTCTTCTACATTTTCGAAACTGAATGCAGCTAATTTGTCAATCATGTCTTCATCAGCACTGTCTATTTCATCATTGTCATCAAAAACTTGATTTGTAATCAATGTTGTTGCTGTTGTCATATAGTCAACTGGATCATCATCAACTTGAACCACTTGTCTCTTATTCAAATAAATTTCTTTTGCTTGCTTTTTAATCAGGATTATTTCTTCTTTTAACCCTTGAACCTTTTCTTTTGTAGTTAGAGGGTTTTTCCGTTCATTTACATAGTTCTCATAGACCACTATAAAACCTGGCCAAGACTCCAATAAATTCTTAAAAGCTTTTATATGATGGCCAACAAACCTTGTTCCTGTTAGTTTCGGTAGAGTGTAATGCGTAATACCTAAAATATCTAATCTAGTTTAATATTTAAAAGTTAAGTAGTTTACATTTATCTTAGAAATAAAAATGCCAGATAATATAAGAAAGGTAATCTTGTAATGTGTTTTTACTATGAGCCAAGTTCTTGAAAAATAAAATGATTAACTAAAATAAAAATTACGGTTTTAAGCCTTAATCTTTTACCGCAAATTTTGTGGTAAACTTTACCTAAAGCTGCAGATGCATTTATTACTTCTTGTTTTATTTTTTCCAAGTTTCAAAGCAGATAAAAATTTGTATTGTAAAATTCATCAACTTTCTTTAATTTAAAGATCTTTAAAAAAACCTCTTTAATTGCCAGTTCGACTCTGTGGTTGACACAATGAACTGGAAGTAGCCATTCTCTATCTGTCTTTATTTGCGCTATGACACCGCAAAGTTTACATTTGCACCATCGGATGTTATACTGACTAATTTATTTTTGTAATCATTGGAGTCTAGTTTAAAATCCCCGGTTTCAAAAATGTTATTGATTCCCTTGACAATGGAGTCTGCTTCTCCTCTGCCAAACCTATCAATATCAACTAGATTCAGAACCATATAAAAAGGAGAACCACATCTTTTAATTGTTTCCAAAACTAACTCTTTTTCTTTCTTTGTTTTTCGAGCTTGGCTAGCATTGCACAAAAGTGAGGAGATTTGACCTTCTTTCAGGATATTGACACATTTTTCTCAAACAGCCATTGCAATGCATTTTACAAATTCACGCCATTTTCGTTGCATTTGATCATTTTAAAACGATTGATCTTACAGCTCTTTACCTAAACATTTATCTTAAATGATGTATTATATTTTTCGATTTAAAGTTAAATTTAGAATAAATTAGTAAAGTTAACAAAGTTGGAACCAACTATTTTTATTTGAACAATTAAATACTTTATCTAAAATATTTAAAATTGTCAACGTCTCGATACTTACAATAATAGCAAAGTTTATGTGCGGCATAGTTGGCAGAAGGGCCATTTCATAGGCACAGTTCATAAGTCTTATATATGCATCATCCGTTAAAACTTTTAACAAAGACGATATTGACGCTTGTATCTAAGAAACAAAAGAATATTACAATTACAAAAATACAGTTTCCTCAAACTTTTACTTTGTGCAAACTATAATTCAATCTTAATTGAATTATAGTTTGAATTTTTTCTATAATATGTTTTATAAACATCGATTTCATTTAGTTTTTTTAAAGGTAAAAATGTTCAAGCTTTTTTAACTAATGTTAAGTAATTGTTTTGGACTTCTTTTAATGTTAAAGTTGAATGAATAATAAAAAAGAGTTAACAAATTTAAATTAATGCATTGTAAGTGTCATTAGTTATAAATGCTAGTTTCATCTGTGTCATTAAAAAAAGAATTTTGAAAGAAAAAGAACGTTGTTGTTCAAAAAAAGTTTCTTTTAGTTTAATCAAGTTTTTTTAGGCTTAATTTTTTTCTTTTTTTGACAAATTTTTTTTAGGTTTTTTTTTTTAACTTTCTCTTAGTTTAGTTTAATTTTTTCAACGCATTTTATAAATAATTAAATATCAACATTTAACATCAACATAAACATCATCAAGCATTTGCAAATCTATAAATGCTTGATGGCCAAATATATTAATGTTGTACGATCACACGACTTCCTGATCAACCCTGCAACAAATGACGCTTTAGCACAGTTCAAAATTAAGATATTAGAATCTGGTAAATAAGAATAAAAAATCTTTATTTTAAAAATAAAAATTTATTAATTACCTTGAAGGATTTTGTATTTTGTATTCCATCGGTTGACGTAACATATCGCTCATTTGAGGGTTTCTCGCTCTCACACCTTATTGTAGTAAGGTGAGAAGCTGTTTCAAAAGTTCGTCCTATCTATAAACCGTAAAGCACATTGTCGTATTAAACCTTTACAACCTTGTAATATCGCTTCTCTATTTCTTGTACAAACTGCAGTAAATTTCAATAAGGTATTTAGTTCTATTTGTAATTTTATTTCTAAAGCCTATTACCTCTTTAACTTTCCATTTATTAAATGTTGACATCATTACTTTGTTTCCTTTTGGAATGTCTTTGATTGCAAACATTCTAAACAACATTGTTTTAAATTTGAGTTAAAATAAATAATAGTTAATAAAAAACATATACTATGAACAAAAATTAATTTTAAAAATTATTCTATTATTAATATTTATTTTTATTATAAACGATGTGTGAAATATTATAAACAATAAATCAAATAAATCTTACTTGATATTTTCACAAGATTATAAATATTTTGCAGTTACAATTTTCTTATACTGGTTTTCTAATTTTCTTTTCTTATTTTATTTGTGCATTTTTATATTGGCATTGTGTTTCCAGGTGCACATTCTATTATTGAAATTAGTGACTTTTAACAACTTCAAACTGCTCATTCATTACGTTTGTGCAACAGAGAATGACGTAGTGCTTTTTATATTTTATATCAGTGCTTCGATAATATAATATCTTTACTAAAATTTCTTTTTTTAATATTTTATGAAAATAAAAAAATAACTTATTATTTTTTTTATCCCAAACTCTCGGACAAGCGTTATTTTATACGCTCATTTTATCGCCCCTATAACGTTTGAAAATACCAATTACCGGCGCGTTTTACGAGCAGAGCTTGATCGCGCTGGCTTCATCACAAGTCTTGCTACTTGAGTATAGAGTTTGCTTCTATATCATATATATGAAACATTATATTTATGATAGAGACAGCATAGAGAGTGGTTTTATCTGTGAATCTTTAATAAGGTTTTGATGCTTGAAATATTTTTTTTTAGGTGTAAAAGATAAAGCTGATAACTGTTTAGTTATATCAAATCCAGATCAACTTGATCATGATGGTGATGGGGTAGGAAATGAATGTGATAACTGTCCTAATGTTTATAATCCAACTCAGGTAAAAACTTTGTTTAAAGGTTATTACATTTTTTATATGCATTAGTAGAAGGACTATCAATGCACATAAAAACGCTACTGTTGTTAGGTGTTTGTAGATAATAACAATGTTGACGTTATATTGGAGATAATAGTATTGAATTTACTAGGTGGGTACTATAGTGATAATGTTAACAGTGAGTGGGACCCTAAAAATAGTTTTAACATTGATAACTTTTAATTTAGGTGGATGCAGATAGTGATAATGTTGGTGATGAATGTGACTCTAACAATGACATGTAACTTTTAATTAAAAGGTTTTATGCAAAAATCATTACTTAAATGCTGCAATATATAAAAAAAACTTTGTATTGATTTTCTAGTGATAGAGATGGTATCCAAGATGATCAAGACAACTGTCCTTATGTCCCAAATTCTAATCAACTGGATATTGATAAAGATGGAAAAGGTTGTCAATTTTTAAAGCATTTTTATAACTAAACCCACAAAACAGTTGCAATATATATCTAACATGCTTGTATTTAGGAGATGTTTGCGACCTTGATGATGATAACGATGGAATTGAAGACACTCGTGACAATTGTCAAATGGTAGCTAATCCTTTGCAAAAAGATACTGATGGTAGAGTTAATATAACTTATTATAACAATATTATTATAACTTGTAGTTGTATTATATTTTTATCATTTTTATTTTTATTTTTTATCTTTATTTTAATTATCTTTATTTTATTTTTTTAATTTATTTAAATATTTTATTGGTTTTTGGTTGATCTTTTAAAATTAACTACCATGTGCTTGAGTTTTTTAGTTAACAAGGTGGAAAGTTACAATTTTCCCTGGTTTTAGAAAACTGTTATTTATAAACCTCTATTCCAATGAAACTGCTTTTTGCATATCAAATAATTGTATCATCTGTCAAAAGCACATAATTTTTTTCAAAATATTCAAAATGGTAAAAAAAAATTAGAATCGGAAATTGTGCGAGAAAAGATCTTTGGTCTCTATAAAAAAAAAATTGCAACTGAAATCTTTATGTAAAATATAAGTTTACTAAAGTCACATTAAAAAGAGCTAAAACAAGGCTTTCATAAACCAATGGTTGGAGCCTTTCATAAACCAATGATTGGAGCTTTTCATAAATGTATGGTTGGAACCTTTCATAAACCATTGGTTGGAGTCTTTTATAAACCAATGATTAAAGCCTTTGCAAATATTTAAATTTTGAATATTGCAATTTAAATAAAATGTCTTGGTTTATGATGTTTTAAAAGGAAGATTAAATGATATTTTATTATATTATTTTAACAGGTATTATACAATCTTCGGATATTCATATTTTTATCACACCACAAACAAATTTGGTAAATATGTAAATAAAACAATTAAACATATCACCTGCATTGACCTGAAGTGAATGAACTGCATTTTTTAAAAATATCACATCACTATTTTATTCTATTATTATTTTTGTTATCATTTCTGTAATGTTTTTAAGGTTTGACTACAAACCAATGAATGAATTTTTTTGCTTATTACATATTTATGTTATAGCTATATTTATATATTGTTCATTTATATATTTTATTTTATATATTGACAAATCATATAAAAAAAAATTTCCTATAAAATTCTTAAAACTCTTGTTTTGCTTTATGAAATTTTTTTTTTATGAAACTTTTTTTCTTTTTTTGGATAAAAATAAATTCAAAGTTTTTGTCAAGAGTTTTTCAATATAATTTCAGTTACCATAGTTACCATTCAAATACTTCCATCGAAGCAGACTAGTAATGAAGCTAGTTCATTAGTTTGCTTTAATGCTGTTAAATCAAGTTTCATAACCCAAATAATTCTCGTTTTAAAGTTTTAAGGTTTTAAGACAAAAGTTTTTTTGTTTTCTGGCAAATTAAAGAGTTAGAAACATTAATTTTGTAGTTTTATTGTGAAAATTTTGATTCTTAACTTCCTTTAATTCTTACCCAAGTTAGAAAAGGTAAAAAATTTACAATTTTTTTGAGTTTGTAATTATTTTTTTACTTAATCAGATTTTTTTTAAAGGTAATGGAATTGGTGATGCATGTGATGGTAACTATGATGGAGATGACATACAAAACGTGAAAGATAATTGTCCACTCAATCCTTCTATATACAACACAAATTTCACTCATTACCAAATGATCAAGCTGGATCCTAATGGAACTTCTCAAGTAGATCCAGAGTGGGAAATTTTAAATCATGTATGGTTCATTTTATGAATTTCTAAATGATCTATTATTTATTGTTAACCTCTTTTTAATAGCCATCAAAAACCTTCACTTTCGTGTCTCTCATTAATTGCTCTTATTTCCATTATTATTATTGACTCTCATTTAATACCCTTATTACCAATATCTGGGTTTTTCATAATTTTTTTTTTGTATGCAAACAGCTTCTCTTTTAGGGTGCCGAAATTAAACAATGGAGAAACAGTGATCCGGGTCTAGCAGTTGGTAGGTTGATATTTTTTTAAATTAAGTATATAAGCTATTTTGTGATTGACTAACAATTAAATTTCTAAAGGTTGATTACTTCAATCCTGGTGCTAATCTAATTAAATTTGTAAAATTTGATGACTTTAATTCTGGTAATAATCTAGTATAAATATGCTTAATCTAGTATAATTATGCTTAATCTAGTATAATTATGCTTAATCTAGTATAAATATGCTTAAAATATACTTTTGTAAAATTGGCTGTACTGAAAAAAACTGAATTATAAGAATTTGTTAAAGAAAATGTCTTTTATAAAAATGTTATTTAAAATAATCAAGTATTTGTTATGCATGTAATATATTATATGCATAAGAATTACTTAGTGTTTTTATTTAACTTAAGTTTAAAAAATGTGTTTTTATTTGACTTTAAAATGTTCAATGAATTTCATCCTTTTTATCAACTTAGGCTTTTCAAAAATCTTTTTATACAATAAATATTAAAAGAAAAATTTTTAATTTTTCATATTTTTTTTTTCCTATTAGAAAGTAGTTAAATTTTCACAAATAAAAGTATACTTTGCAAACAACTAGAAAATTTTTTTTATTTTTAAGTTTGTCATAAGTTGAAATATCATGATAATTAAGATAATTTTTTTTTAATAATTTACTTATTACTATATACTTTTTTAAATTTTTATTTAATTTTTAAGTATATTTTTACATAGTGATCAAGTAGCATTGCATATTCTGCAAAAAAGCAGTAGCCAATAATCATAAAAGCATTTTATGTGATTGTTGCTCTCGAGTTCATGCTAAATAAAATTCTCCTCTAATCTTTTTATCGAAGACACTTATGACTGGTAATGTAGTTACTGCATAAGTAAGAATATGCCAATTAGCACACTTTCAGACTTTTCTTTAACTTTATCATGTCAGACTCTACCAACTAATATCTTATATTCTTTGGAAAGCCCATCTCTCTAATACAATTAACACTAATAACCAATAGACAATTTAAAAGCTTTTCTTTGGAATACAAATCTGTATTCCAAAAAAAAGAAAAATCTGTAACACAATTCCTAATTGCAAATAATATGATATTCTTGATCTTAATAAAAACTATAAAATTAAATTCTGAATTGCACCTTCATTTGAACATTAATTCTTGCAGTCTTTTAAGTTCACTTACCACTCTTCCTATAGTGTTTGGATTTTTGGAATCTAAGTTATGCATCAATAATCCCAATATAAAAACATAAAATGGTTATAGAATGTTATCAAACAATGCTCAATTGAAGCTAAAAAGAACTTTTTCTATACTTTTCTGTAATTGCAATCCAATCTAAACTACAATTTTCGAAGAGATCTTATTGTATATACCCTAAAATATTTAGAATCTATCTTTATAAGAATCATCAATATTTTTAAGAAAAGTATAATTGTTGGCTGTATATACCAGCATTTATCAATGAACAAAGAAATTTATTTCTGATTATTTTAATCCTTAGCTTGAAAAAACATCTTTTTTTTTCATAAAAAAAACTGATCAAAACCAATTTGACCAAATCAAAATCAATTAAACTCAAATCTCAACTTTAGATATCTAATGGAATTCTGTTAACTACAAGTCAACCAAAGTCAACTATTCAATAAACTTAAATTGTACAGGAATGAAACAATTAAAAATTACCTAAAAGTCATACTACATCTATTTTTTTAACAAAAATTTCAACAATACAAAAAATACATAAGACAGTATTAAAAAAATTATTAACATCAACACCAATTAAATCTTTAATTCTCAAATCTTATGGTAACACTATCTCAGACAGTTTTACTGTTGCTAATGGTAACACTATCTCAGACAGTTTTACTGTTGCTAATGGTAACACTATCTCAGACAGTTTTACTGTTGCTAATATTTAACAACTAGTCATCATTTCGAATCAAGTTTAATATCTATAAATAACTAAACTTTAGACGGCAAAAAATCTTTCCATAGTTTTTTAAAAATATTTTAGAATCAAAATTAACTTAAATCTTTTTATCTTCAAGGCTCAACAGTGAAATTCGATCAAATGGGATGCTAGTCAAAATTCTTCATTATGTCAGTTATGAAAATTTACATCTTACATATGCTTGTCAGGTTTGGGGACAAGCCAGCCTCATTTAAGATTATCTAATTTACAAAACAAGGCTTTAAAAATAATATACTTTTAACAATATCATTCTAAACTGACACTCTTTTTCTTTCTATCCAAACTACTCATATCAGGTAATGATCTTTTATCTATTAAACTGTTTATTTGTCTTGAGTCATAAACAAGTTTATAAAAAATTTTCTCATTATCATCTTTTAGTAACACAAACATAAAAAGAATAATTTCTTCATCTTTAATCACTCAATTATTTCACAATTTGAAAACTGCTTTTTTGCCAACTTGTTAGTAAAATACTTTATGTAGAATATTATACTTATTGGGGATTATTGTTGTTATTATTAAATGTGATGTAAATATTATTTACATTTTATTTCAATTTTTATTACTTATTAATATTGTTGAATATTTATCTTTGATATTTATTGTTGTTGTTATTATTGTTATAATTATTACTAATATAATCTTTGTTATTGTCATTATTATATCTAATAGTATTGTTATTATTATAGTTTTACTCACTAATTTTAATATTATTATATGATTGTTATTATTATTTAATATTATTATATGATTGTTATTATTATTTAATATTATTATATGATTGTTATTATTATTTAATTGGTAACTAGGTAAGTATTTTTACTATTTGTAAATAACCATGAAAAACCATGTAGAAACTTTTCGTGTTGTGGTTGTTTTTGTTAATATCTATGCTGTATTTTCCAGATAAGTTATTTGTTATTCTAAAAAAAAATATTTTTTAATTTTTCAAATGCAATTTTGTGATTTTGTTTTCTCAGATAATAGTGTTTTCATAAAATTTCAGGAGTTGAAAGGTTTGGTGGTGTTGATTTTTATGGCACGTTTTACATTCATGATGAGAAAGATGATGATTTTGCAGGTTTTGTATTTGCTTTTCAAGACAGTAGTAATTTTTATGCTTTAATGTGGAAAAAAGAAGAGCAAACTTATTGGATTGAAACTCCCTTTAAAGCAAATGGAGAGTCTGGTATTCAACTGAAGGTCAATTTTTTTCCCAAAATTATTATTTTGGTTGTATAGTTTTTCTATAAGTGCAAATTTCAAGTTAATCTGTATTTAAGGTAGTCAAATCAAAAACTGGACCTGGTGAGCACTTGCGCAATGCGCTGTGGAGTTCTTCAAGTGTTGCAGAACAGGTATATCATATTTTTTTATGTTATTTTTAAAAAATTAAAAAAATAAAAAACAAGTTTAAAAAGTATTTTTATGAAGTTAAATTTTTAACATATTGCAAATTTAGTTTGCAAGTTAAATTTTGTTTAGACAAATGTTTTATGGACTGATCCTCTGAAACAAGGATGGAAACCAAAAACATCATATAGATGGTCTTTAATTCACAGACCAGATTTAGGTTTAATAAGGTATATGTTTTTAAAAGGTTTTTACTTTTAAAAAAATGTTTATCAATGCACAGTGGGTCAAAGTATGACAAAACCATACAAAAAAATTTTGAAATTTAAAAAATGGCAAAAATCGTTCATTATATTGTTAAGCCAGAAATTATATTTTAATAAAAGATATTTTTGCGATAAAATATCATATTTGTGATTTAAATATCGCCTTGGAAGCTTTTCATTAAAAAAAAATGCAAAAATTTACTTTTTTTACTTTTTTTTTTAAATATTTTGATTTTTTATTTTAATAACTTTAAGTTTTTTTTTTACCATATAAACAACTTATATATTATTATGTCAATTTTAACATAATAATAAGACTTTAAAAATGCAAGCTCTGATTCTAACAGAAGTCGCAAGCAAATTGGTTTGGAATAAAATTTAGAAAGGAAGGTATTAAAACCTGAACTTGTACTATCAGTATTTCCATCTTTGCCAAGTTTAAGTATAGTAACACCAGTGCCTGGTTCAACTACTTTTTTTCTTCCACATCTCGCCTAAACAGGGAAAATAATGTAATAATAAACGATTTAGAACTTTTCCATTGTAAAGATGCTGTTAAATCATTTGAAGAGCTTACTAAAAAAGTTGCAAGCGAAATCAGAAATTTTCATCTTAATATTTTTGTTGCTATTGATACTGTGAGCAATTCTCTTCTTCAGTTAAATGCAACAGGAGTAATTGTCAAATCATCTGTTCGATGTTTACATAAACAACATAGTTGTTCCTAAAGAATCTTTCCAATCAGTAATGGCAAACATAGCAAAAATTTCCAGTTCATCAGATTTAGAGAATATACTAAGCTACATACATTATTTAATTAGAAAAGATAGTAAAATTTCACCTATATCTACATGTGTTAAACTTTTGGAAGAATATGATTGCACTGAAGAAATTCATACAAAGCTCAACTTTATATGTGACCAGCTTCTCTGGTTTAAAATATATCAATGCAGATTTTAATTTTTTAATTTTCAGATTTTTTAGTATGAGAGTAAAAACCCCTTAAAAGTTGCCCATCACTTATCTAAACAATGCTTTCAGCCTACAAATCTCCAAAGTACATCAGCAAAGCTATGTTTTAAAATTTTCCATGAAAAAACTGCATGTGGCTTGAAGTTTTTTTACAAGAATGGAAAATTACAAGGTCCTATTTGGAACGCTACTCATTATTTAATAGAAAGGTTTGTGAAAGTTTGAAAAGTTGTTAATGTGAAATCTCCATAAACGAGACATGCTTATGAAACCGATTTGAAACCAAAACCCATTAGACCAAATCCCATTAAACCAAAACCCATTAGACCAAAACTTTATTTTGAAAAAATTTGTTGACTTTCTTAATCAATGCAATCGCTTAAAAGTTCCTAATACAGGCTTATCCTATCCAACTAATTTAGCTTTCATACAAATGTGTGAATGCCTTAAAGAATTTAGTGAGCATATTTTATTCAAAAAGTATGATGTGAATTATATCACTTTAGGAAAACTCCAATCCTATCCTATTGAACAAAGGTTTGGTCATTATCCTATTGAACAAAGGTTTAGTCATTATCCTATTGAACAAAGGTTTGGTCATCATCCTATTGAACAAAGGTTTGGTCATTATCCTATTGAACAAAGGTTTGGTCATTATCCTATTGAACAAAGGTTTGGTCATTATCCTATTGAACAAAGGTTTGGTCATTATCCTATTGAACAAAGGTTTGGTCATTATCCTATTGAACAAAGGTTTGGTCATTATCCTATTGAACAAAGGTTTGGTCATTATCCTATTGAACAAAGGTTTGGTCATTATCCTATTGAACAAAGGTTTGGTCATTACCTATTGAACAAAGGTTTGGTCATTATAGGCAGCTGTTTGGTGGAAACTGTTACATTAAAGTAAAGCAAGTTTTAGATGTTGAGAAAAAAATTCGAATTAAAAGTCTTTGCAAATATTCATGAGTTTTGACAAAAGATCTTGAAAATATGAAAGATTTATTAAATATAGATGCTAACCAGTTGGATGAAGATGATATATTGAAGTTCCAAAATCTAAAATCCAATTTTAATGATGATCATCTTTATTTACTTATTGAAGATGGTACTGTAAATATTGTTTACAGTTTTGCAGGTTATTGTTCCCAAAGATTGTTAAAGCTCCATCAGTGCTTAGGTTGCAGTAATCTCTTTGTTGATAACAATTCCAAAGCATATTTATTAGACATTTGTTCTGAAGAAAAAGCAAAAATCAATGATTTGTTTAATGATATTAATAAAGGAGGTCTAATACGACCAACTGATTTATGTTTTACATTATGTTTACTATCTTATAGCTATTTTCTAACTATTTTCAAAACTGATCATTTGAGACAAATTTTTTTATCAGGAAAAAATTATTCATCAATCTTTAAAGAATTACTTTTTTGCGACATTAAAATAAAACCCATTCTCTCAGAGAAGTGTACAAATGGAAGGCATAAAATGGAAGATGTTTGTGGAATAATTATCAAGATATTTTTAAACACTGTTTCACACAATGTTGTATGTAATTTAAATGCAAAAAACTGTTCAAAAATGTTAATTGCAGATAAAAAGATTCAAAAACTTAAAAGTTCTAAGTTAAAGTAGTTATTTTTCTTATGTATATACTTATATATATTCATTAATTTATATACATTTATATACAGTTTTGTATATATATATATATATATATATATATATATATATATATATATATATATATATATATATATATATATATATATATATATATATATATATATTTCGGCCCCTTAGCGTATTAGCGAAAAAATAGTGCGCAGACCAGGTATATAGGAGACCTTACCTATAGCTGCCTGAACGAATACACTTTTAAATTCAAATAACTATGCCAGCATTTTTTGTTATTACGTTTTTTATCGATAATAATAAATTCAAGAATAATTAAAACAAAAAAGCTGCAATTTGACTTTATATTAATTTTTTTTATAGACATAAGTTTAAAAAAAAATATTCTTTATTTTTTTGATTTTTAGTTACTGCATAATATTTACTCAATAAACATTTAGATCACATTAAAACCATTATTTTTCATTTTTATGCTATCATTTTAAAGTAATAAAAAACTAAATTAAATATAAAATTATGAATTTGTACAAGTTCATTACCAATATTATTTGTTTTAAAATTTCCAAAAACAATGAAGTTATATGTATTTGATAAAAAACACGACTACAACCAATAAAAAACAAGAAAATGCAGTGAATTACTTAGTTACGGCTTGTAAAAAAGTCATAAAAAGCTTTATCTAGTTTATTACAAAATATTTTTATTTACTTTATAAGAAAATATTATATAAAATAAGTTATTAAATTGATAGATGGTCAATTGAAAATAGATAGAAGATGTCTTATGAATTATATAATGGAAAATAATTTGCTGCAAAATGATGTTATATATGCGAAAATTTTAAGTTTTGTTTCCGAAAGCAATTTTGAAAAATCTAATAGTTTGTAAATAATTTCAAAATTTATCCAGCCAAAAAAAGTGGAAAAATCAAATAGAAGGAGTGCAGTAATTTTAAAAAGAAACAAAATTTGGTTAGACGAAATTATATTTGACTGGAAAAAACAAAAGCTTGAAACAAAAACCTGTGGTATGTTTACTTTAACAATGAATAAAATTTATAATAATTTATACAGTTTATTTCTATTGTTATTATGATAATTAAATTGTTGTTAAATTATTGTTATGATTTAAGGTGGACGCCCTTCAGTTTTGCTTGAAGATACGTCTGTGTGAACGAAAGATTGCATAGTTTCCAAGCTTTTGGATAAATACAATTCGAACAAACTTTTATATGCTGCGAGTAAAAGTTTGAAAAAAGATAAAAGATTTATAGAAGCAAAAGTTGTTAAAAATTATGCAACAAAGAATTATCGTCAAGATTACTTACATCAAAACAGCCAGCCTTAGATGCTTATCCAAAGAAACTTGTTAGCATTTAAGAAGCTCTTTATTTTAACTCTCTTTACCCCTCATATCATATAGTAAAAGTTGCTAAAAATAAATGCTACCCTGAAAACATTTAGGTCAGTGACTACTCTGTAGTGGTACCATTACAGGATCAACAAGGGCATGAGGGCAATTTATAAACAACAGTCAGATGATACAAGTGAACTTATACATATCATTAGAAAGTGCTTTTGTACAATAATACAATACTGAAGAATTGCTTTTCATAACTTTGTTTCTCTAGAACTATATTGTTTCAAAGATGAGAAAAAATAGGTTGTATGAAGAAATCCAAAACTATCGTCAACTTTTTATTGTCTCTCACATTTAAATATAAAAAAAAGAATTGAAAGAAGTAGTTCTTGCAGAATATGAGTCAATTATGGCTTCTATTAAAAATATAACATCCAATGTATCTGTTTTATTTGAGGACACTAAAAAAAGTTGTAGTACAACATTGTAAATATAACAATGATAGATGGAAAAATTCTAACTATTATTTCCATAGCAACCAATTCTTACCAATGGTGTTCAGTCTGTGGTGCATAAAAGTTTTTTTCAAAACAAATTTAATTTTTTCCACAGATTGTGTTTTTCAATGTAATAAACTGTTTCTAATAAAAAAAATTGTTAAAATTTTTGTTTTGGGAGTTTTGGCTAGAAAATGTCACATTTGACCTACTGTGCAATGGTAAGGGATTTGAAAAAAATTATTTTTTGATTTATTTTAAATGTTGATGTTTAACAAATCAACTTATGAACAAATATAAATTAAATTATGAAACATTTTTCAGTATGAGTATTAATGTCTGATACATTGTTACTACAAAGTTGTTTCAACTTTTATGATTGTTCTTTTCATCTGTGCTTACCTCTAACGTTCACCAAATTAACCTTACCTCTTTCAGAGATTAGTTTGACTAAGATCTTAGTGGTGATGTAAAGACCTTAGTGGTGATATGAAGATCTTAGTGGTGATGTAAAGACCTTAGTGGTGATATGAAGATCTTAGTGGTGATGTAAAGACCTTAGTGGTGATATGAAGATCTTAGTGGTGATGTAAAGACCTTAGTGGTGATATGAAGATCTTAGTGGTAATGTAAAGACCTTAGTCGTGATATGAAGATCTTAGTGGTGATGTAAAAATCTTAGTGGTATGTAAAGGTCTTGGTGGTGATGTGAATTATATTTGGATTCACAAAGATTATAATAGTCATATGTTTGTCCTGTACATATACTTATCCTCCAAGTCACCAATTAAATATAAAATTTGTTTAGATTCTTATGATATTATTATAGTTTTTTATGTGCTTTTATTTGATATATTTTGAAGAATTTATTTCATATTTTATGTAATAGTTCTACTGCTACTGACAATGCTGACAGTTTAAAACTGTCTTGCTTAATCTTATAACATATAGTTAACTTTTTGACTTGTTTTCCTGACAATTCATATCACTTACCTTTGTTTTTCAATTACCTTTATTCTTTAAGTTTTATTACTGACCCTAACTTGTGCTCAGTAAGCACGGTGGTATCCAAAATTCTATATAACCAGTTATTCCTAATTCTTTTTTTTTTTTTTTTTTTCTTTTGAAGTTTAAAAAATAATTCAGTTTTTGCTATTTTTTTGTGGTTTTTTCTTCTACTTCTATTTTTAGCATTTTAAAGATAGTAAAAAACTAGAAAATATTAAAAAACTAGAAATCTTTGCAGTCTATTCTTTTCGTGTAAAGTTACACAACTTTATGCAGTTTAAATTTTTATTGGATAACTTTGAATTAATATGAGTAAAACAAAAATGTCTAGTGTAAAATATTGCTTTTGATTTACTTCACTTGAATATTTTTTAATTTCGTAAACTAAATTTAGATAAAGATTAAAATAAAAAGTATTGCTACAAGAAGTAAAAAACTAGTAAATAAATAACTAATAAACTAGTAAATAAATAAATCAAAATTAATAAACATTTTTAGAAATCTCCCAGTAGTTGATGAATTTTATCACACAAAGTTGCCTTTACTCAAGGTTGTTTTTGTACTTGTATTTAATGGAGTCAAGTCTATAAATTATCTTTTGGAAATTTTCATTAGGTAAGATTGACTACTCAGTGGTCATAGAAGCAGTTTGTATATACGCATCAAAAAATTTGGGTGATTGATTAGTTTTTGCAAATATAATAATGCAAAATTTAGCTATCTTTTTTCAACAGAAAATAAGAAATTTTTATGGGTTTGAAAAAAGTTACAATAAATCATTGTAATACATCATGTAATATAAACATAATTCATCAGTTATTATGTGATGGAATAACTGATGTATTACGTTTTTAATCTTTCCAGTTGATAAAACAAATACAAATAACATTGAATTTAGGTGTCAGCGTGGGTCATTGCAGTTGGCATTGGAAATACCCTCAATTACAAAAATTCCTCTTTCCACTATACTTAAATATCCAAACCATTGTGAAATAAAGATTCAGATAATTTACCCTCGGAATTAGGGTCGGCATTCAGCAACGCCCACCTAACTGCCAACCTGAAAGCGTTTGAGGTTGGCAAAAAATTGCTGACCTCATATATCATATTGGCAAAAAATTGCCGACCACTTAATGGTTAGACCTTTGTATCAAATAGTTTTTGCCGACTTTTTTTTTTTTGTTATTCACCTCCTCAAGGCCGAGAAGGCCACTACAGATGAGGAGGCTACTTAATAGTGGTTATACTTGATGCCAAGACTTGATGTCAAGCTCAAAAAGATTTTAAAATAGAAAATAGAGTTGGAACCAGTGACAGAAACAACTGAGACAGAACGATTTAGCAAAAAAAGAACTGTAAGCTTTTCATTAGGCCTCCATAAAAAAATTCTTGGAATCATATATTGAAAAATCTTAGCTAGTTTAAAATTACAAAACAGCTCATTTACTGGTGAATCAGATGTCGAAGAATATATTAAAAAAGATCTGTTAAATACGAAAATCAATTGATGAATGGGATGTTTTTTTTAAGGATACAGTAGATTATTTAAAGGAAATGATCTACTGTATCCACTCTGCAAAGACCTACTCTGCAAGTCTGTGAAGATTCACTCTGCGATTCTGCAAAGATTCACTCTGTAAAGAACCACACAAAAAACTGTATTATGTCTACAGAAGAATAAGTTAATAATTTTAAGTTTCTACTTAAAAAGTCAATTTTTTACCTCCGATTGTTGTTTTTTAGTTTAATGGTTTTACTCAATTTAACAATTGGTTTGTCAATATAATCACTTTTTGTTGAAACTGAAATTGAAGGCTAAAAATTTATAATGTAAAAATTCGAAATCATAAAAATTTATAATGAAAAAATTCAAAATCAATTTTTAACTAAAAAAAATTGTTTAGTTAAAAATTGGTTAAACTACACAAAATCTAAAAAAAGTTAATTTTTGTGGTTGTAACTTTTGGAAATTTTTTATTGTCTAACAGTCTTTAAATTTGTGGTTGCAACTTCTGAAAATGTTGTACAATGCTCTGACTTAAATATCGTCCAAACTTCTTTAAACTATTGTGAGCAATTTTTAAGCTTCTTATACCTAATCTTGAATATAATAACTTTCTGAAAATTAACATAGATTTTAGACCCAATTTATTAAAAAATTAGCATCTGCTAAGGTTGCCACTGTATATCATGCTTGCGAAGGGTAAAAGATCCTTTTTTCATAATTTTATAAAAAATAGTTTTTTAGCCAAATTATGACGTTTTAACTTTCGTTTTGTTTTTTTAACTTTAACACAGTTAATATTTATATGTTATATAGTTTTATAATAACCTTTAATTACTTTTTTTAAGAATCATTATTAAAAATGGCATGGCAGTTGTCAGTGATTCTGGTTACATTGTTGATCATTCTTTTAAAGGTGGTCGTTTAGGCGCTTTGGTATTTTCTCAGAAGGAAATAGTATTTTCGGATCTTCATTACGATTGCAATGGTGAGTCTTCTTAAAATGTTTTTGTGTTATTACAATAAGCAGAAGGTGATTTCTGTGTATTCATATGATTTCATAATTTTCAGATAAAAAACCAGAAGACTACAATTCTAAATTTAAAAAATAAGCGATAAAAACATTATCAAAACTGAGACATGCGTTGAACCGTTTGTTTATGTTAAATATGAAAGATTTTAATGAAAGCGCATTGCAAGGTTATATTACGGTACTTTACTACGATGAAATAGTGTATTATACTATTATAGCATACATACTTTAATCAACTATGCTATTATTGCATATATACTTTGATCAACTATGCTGTTATTGCAGTACTTTGATGAAATTTGAAGTATGAAAATTTTTGACACAAAATTAGAAATGTATGAACTTTTTATTTAATTTTTTGTATTTTTATAGTTATCTAAGAATTTGATGTTTATAAATTTACATTAAGGTTTTATAAATTTTTATTAAGAAAAACTGTTATTTTAATATTTATGTTTTGTATATTTTTCATTTGATTTGCAATGTATCTTTTATATTTGAATTCTTTTAAATCGATAAAGTTTAATGGAGGTTCTGAAGTTTTAATTAGTATTTACGCAGTGAAGTTATTTTTTTCAAATCTTTGTAAACTCGGCCTATTTTTGATATCAAAGTATAAAATAAAACATAAAATATTTAAAGCTCTTTGTAAAAGTTTGAGTGGTCTTATTTCTATGGAATATTGAATGTAAAAGCTGATCTACAAAGTTAATGAAATAGATACGTACAAAGCGTACAAAAGATATTTAATTATTTTGTCAGTGCTTTTGAAAACCTTTTTTAATTTAAAAAGGTTTTGTCCTTCTAAAAGATTAAATTACTTTTAGAAACTATGGTGCCGATGTATTTGATTCATAGCATGTTTTCATCATCAACAACACAACTTCTAAAATGCCCTAAAAATAAAATCTCGCAGAATATCACAGGAAATATCTTATTTTATTTATAACAGTTATTTTTTTAACGTCATTACAATTGATGCATTCGCAAAATGTTTGTTACCTTTTAAAATATTAAATATTTGCTTTTCTGTCTTCCCTTTTCTTACTTTCATTTCTTTTATATTATCTTATTATTTATGTTTTTGATATCATGTAATTCTTCTTGCTAATCTCTTCGCCAATTTTTCCAATGCTCCGCTTTCTCAATGTTGTTTCCAAAGCTCCGCCGCAAGACAAGCATCATGCCTGGTCCAGTTAAGCAAAAACCAAATTAGGACCTTATGGGCATTTGTTTTTAAAAGTTACGTTCTAAATGTCTTTTAAACGTCTTCTAAACATTATTACACAAAGAACGTTTAAAAGATGTTTAAAAAACGTTTAAAAGACATTTAGAACGTAACTTTTAAAAACAAATGCCCGTAGGGAAGTTAACTAGGACTTAACTAGAAGCATGTATTGAAAAACAATTTAGAAGATTAGTTACTGTATTTCAACTTGGCTGTTACACCTAGAAGTAATTTGAACTATATATGGGCAATTCAGCGAGAGTGACTGTCGTAGCATTTGACATTCTTTAAGTTATTAAAAATGAAACAAAAATGGAAATGACTTGAAACTTTCCAGAAATGTGAAATACTATCATATAATTTAGTATGTAAAAGTTACAGCATTGAAGTCTTCAACTTTTTTAAAAAATTAACTCTAAGTAGAGTGACGGTCGTAACACTTACTTTTTACCACTTCTGAACAAAACAACTTTGTCAGACTTAATGCAGGGAACGGCGTGGGATCATTGGGTGTGTGTATTTGGCACATATTGATGTTATTTATATGCTGAGTTTCGGTTTTTACTTGAAATTTTACAAGCATTTTTATGTTTTTTAGTCTCGACGGTCGTAACAAAAAATCCAATGCTTAAAAATAACAAATAAAACGACGCAATCAATGATGTAATAAAGAAAAGTATAAATGATTATTAACAACCATGTATATTATATTAAAAAAATGCACTATAAAGTTTTTAATTACGGATATACGATACGATTTTTAACGCTACACAACGTGTCAAAACACGTTTATACAAAAAAGTTTAAAATCATGTTTTAGTATGATAAAATGATATTTTTTTAACTACTTTTTGGCTTAAAAGCATTTTTAAATAGTTTAAATAAAGAGTTATGAAGTTTAGTATGTGTTTTAAAATCTTTTTTTTTTTTTTTTTTTTTTTGGAATTACTTACCTACAGCAGTCGCCCACAGCAACGTCTAACTGAGGTTAAAAAGCATGGATTGCTTATCACAATTGTTTTTTTTCGTTGTTGTTTTTTCACACAAAGATCTTAATCATGTTATTAAAAAGTGATATGGACAATATGCGCCAAAACTGTGTGTGTGAGAGAGAGAGAGAGAGAGAGAGAGAGAGAGAGAGAGAGAGATCAATACTTGAATTTAGTGTTGTATCTTCTATCATACAGTTAAATGAAAACAAAGTTTGTTTTATAAAACATGTACAAAAAAAAATCTGCGTGGATATTTATTCAACTATTGTATTTCGACATTGAATGTTGTACATATTTTGAAAGTTCATATATTGATATTCTTTGCACTGTCTTCGGCTTGGCTTTCTTGGTAGCTCTCTAATCTATTTATTTTTAAAGTTGATTATCTGTTGTTATTGCCTATCTACTTGTGAAATTAAAAAGTTTAGTATATTTTTACATGATGACGTTATAAATAACAGCAACTATGAAAAGTAACTACTTAACATAAAAATTGATCTAAATTTGAATTACTTTGAGCATAGTCATGAAAAAAATTCTTAGGACTATGCTTTGATTATCACATCAAAAAAGACATTGATCGGTTTTATGTCCTATTTTAAAATAGAGCCGTTCTTTTAATAAACAAACCAACTAGAATTACTCAAACAACAACTCCCTCAATTGTAAGTGTAGCAGTTGTCATAAAAAATTTAACAAAGTGTTCGAATGTGGATTGAACATTGGCGAAAGCATTGTCAGTTTAGTTATGGATGGAGCTTTTACGATAGCAAAGTTTGGAAAACTGGTTCCAATTAAGCATCAAACGTGTTACACCCATGGAGTGCATTTGACAGTTCAAGATGTGCTGTACGAAAAGCCTTTTTAAAAAATCGGTAACATCACATTGCAAGTAACAGGTGACAAAGATGAAGTCAGCAATGACGAATCTGAATCTGACACCGCCCTTGGTAACCGTCGACCAATGCTAATTTTTTTGAAAAAGAATTATATATTATATAATTTTTTTTCTATATATGCATGCAAAAATATAAATATTCCATAAACAAAAATGCGTGTATAAGCCTAAATTATTATATAAGCATATATGTAACCACTAAACCTTTAAACACTTTTTGAACAGATTTTAATCAGCAGCTCTTTAAATTAAAATCATACATTAAAATTGACCGTTTATATTACATTTGAAAAAAATCTCATATATTGCCTATTAGTATAAATGAAAATAGTACAAATTCAAATTTAGGGCCGGTGAATAGGTCTGTACCAATCGGCATTGGCAAAAGATAGACACCGCGGCACCCCTACTTGCGTAATATAAGTTTAATCTTTTTTTAAATTACCAAAAAGATTTAAATATAAACTATTAAAACAGCATGGGTGAATCATGGACATTGCAGTATACCCCCTAGATCCGCCCCTCCCCGCAATTATTAAAGTGAATGATCTTTTTTTTGATCAAAAAACATTTGTTTACAAATCTAATAAATATTTTGTATGAAGCAACTGCTTTATTTCGCTTTTCAAGTCAAATAAAGCAGTTGGTCCTGATGATGTGATGCCAAGCCTCTATTATTTGAAATAAAAGTTTTTTATATATATGAGCTTAATATTTTAAATATTTTTTGTCTTATTTTTAAGTGCAAAACTAATTCATCCTCAATTTCTTTCCATAATTTGTATACATCAATAGATAAAAATTAATACGTTTTACGCAATGATAGTTTAATTAAGGAACCTTTTTTCGAACAAACTTTAGTAAATTTTGAATTGATTTTCATGGAACAATTTTATGGAATAAAATAGTTTTTAAAAAATTTTACTGATGATTTTATTCATCAATGTAACTTGTGTTTTTTTCATCAATTTTATTCATAAATGTAACTTAGTGATCCTCCTTTTTTTATAAGAATTTATTCACCTGTTACATACACATTTATATAAAATTTATACACATTTATACTTCCTATTTATGCAAGAATTTATAAAATTCATTAGTTTAGTTTATTTCACCGTTTTAAAATGTTTATAATGTAGGGGAAAGTGGTCTAAAACGGGCCATTAAGGTGAGATGGGCCCCTATCAAATCTCTTGCTTGGACAATAGTTGTTATAAATTTAACAGTAGAATATTGTGCAGCAGACTATAAACGTTTAAGAAAACTATCCGAAAAATAGTTTTTTTCATTGTTATTTTTTTGCAAAAAGAATATTTGAAAGTAGTACTTTTGAATTTTTTTGAGCTAAATTTTTTTACTAAAATCGTAAAAAACACTTATGTTTATTGTGTTTCTTTGATACTTTCTAAAGCTTTAACATGTTATTTTATTTTATCTTTTTTTGTTTGTTTGTTTGTTCTTTATTACGATATTTAATACAATATTTACAAATATATCAATAAGAAAAATTACATGCAAAGAAATCGTTAAAAAAATAAAGAATAAAGATAAAGAACGCGGATACTCAAAGAAGACCATGCAGGTCTTGTCACCGAGAACCGCTGTTGAAGAACTTTGAACTTAATTTAGAAAAAACAAAAATAAATAAATACAAATTTTAAACTTTTCTTTAGTTATCGTCTTTACGGCTTGAATTAAAATATTAATTCTTCTGAACCGCATGACTCAAGCGAAAACAATAATATCATAATATTGTTGATAAACAAATACGTCTTGCATCTTACTCGCATCTATACGATCACTGAATCTTGTTACTCAAATGTATCTTACAATTAAACTAATCTTAATTCTTAATTATTTAATAAATAAACGAGAATAATAAGAATATTATTGCACTAGGTACATCCAAATGCACTTCAAGGTTGTCCAAAAGATTGTGGAGAGGATTTAAGCCAAATGATGTTGTCACTGTGTGTGAAGCCAAAATTATCATTATGTTGGTGCGTTTACCCTTATGCTTCCACCGACAAAAATACTTAACCACTATCAAAGAATGGTTAACTTCCAGAAGTATTATACATACAATCTTTGCAGATGCATCCATTCACATGGACCAATTTTTTTTTTTTTTTATCTTTTTATTATCTTTTATTTATGTTATTTATGTATCTTTTTATTATTTTATTATCTTTTATTTAGATTATCTTTTTATAAGCACAAGATTTTTATGAGAATAGTCTAACAACTTATATTTTTCACTTAATATCAATAACACACTCCAAACCGGTTTGGAGTGTAAAATATACTACACTATTTAAAATTAATTTTGGCAATTTTGTTAATGTAGTACCCAGTGGGCACCGGACCAAAAAAAGACGTCTTTTGAACGTCCGAAAGACGTCCAAAACGTTCAAAAGACGTTCAAAAACGTTCAAAAGACGTCCAAAACGTGCATAAGACATTCAAAAGACGTCTTTTTTACGTCCGTGTCCACTGGGTAACGGGTTTCATAGTGAAAAAGGTATTTGCAACGACTTCCTTTGCTATTTTTATTGTAATTTAAAGCAACAACTATATATTTGTATTTTTAAAAATTTTTATAATCTTTCATTCGAGTCATTTATTTATACAT